CAGGTGTAGGACATTCCCTTTACAAAAGGGAACAACAGGAAAGAAAAAAAGAGATAACAGGTTCTGACTAAATCCAAAACCTAGCAGGGCAAATATTAAATCATGAGGCTTGAGACTCTTCTCTAAGTCTGTCTTATTTCCTGTACACATTGAGGTAGAGGTTAGGCCCCAGAGTTCTGGGCAGCCCTGCACCCACAACTTTTCTGATGCTCTTCTGGTTTAGAATCACATGCCTTTGGTTATACACTGGTCACTTTACCAGTCTGGGGTCTGAGTGGCTCCCCTGCAACTGCAGAAAACATTGCCCTTGCAGGAATACTTTGCAGTGACTCAAACGCTAGTACCCTGGTGGAGACTCCTTAGTGGTCTGGCTCCCACAGTTATAAATATTATGTAGATACTTTGCTTGTTATTAAAGAAAGGATCTAAGGTTTGCCAAGAGCTTAATATGTAATGGTATTTTATATTTGCCATATCTTTCAGTTCTTGAAAGGTTATTTTTATTTCAAAGAGAAAGAAGCCAAAAGCTTAAAGAGGCAAAAAAATCAAGATGAAAATTAGATTGTAAAATAAAAATAATTTGTCATAGTTTGCCACTTGGCATGCTGAGAAATCGATGGCAGTACTAGTAGTAGACAATCAAATTGATAATCTGGTATCCATCCAGCTCAGTACGTCCTAGATAAGGTGTCTGGCATGCGGCAGGATTGGAGGCAGGAATTGTAAAAATAGTGGGCAGAGAATGATTAAAAGAAAGAGTTACATGTAAGCCAGAGTATATGATCTTGTAATTTTTTAAAAAATGAAACTAAAGTTTATACTTAGTTTACTAAAGTTTTATGATAGATTTTAATTAGTTTGTGTCTAAATTAATGTTTGTCTAAATTGCTGCGTGGGGAGGTAATTAATGTTTATCTTCCTTTGTGAACTGTGAGCTTCCTATTGAGAGCATTTGTAAACAAGCAAATCCTTCAATAAAGCATTCCTATCTCTTTATTAATCATGGAGCAGTTTAAAGTTTTTTTTAATTGAGATTGTATATACACTTAACATATTAAATTACTTAGTAAAAATCATTGGAATAAAGCCATAGTATTTTTTCAGAGTATTGAACTTAATTCTTAAAGATAAAAAGAAATATTTGACCAATGGAGAGTATTATAGATGACTTAAGGACATGTGAAATTTCCCTCACCTTGGAAAATTAAAAAAAAAAAAAAAGAATGTTCAGTGTCTGCAATAGGAAAAAAAAATCAGTTTACAGAAGTCTATTTTAATATTTATGAAACTCATGAAAATTTGAACAGCTGTATGGCCAATATTATTGGAAATATGGTGTCATAGTTTTGAAGAGGAAGGACTGGAATTTTGCCTTAATAAAAGAATGATTCTAAAAAAAAGAAAAATTCTTTAAATAAATTTTTTAGTTTTATTTTTATTTCATTTATGTGAGTGTTTTGCCTGCATGTATGTATGTGTACCATGTGCATGCTTGCATGCTTGGTGCCCACAAAGGCCAGAAGAGGGCATTGGATCTCTTGCAACTGGAGTTACATATGGTTCTGAGCTGTCATGTAGGTGGTGGGACCTGGACCCAGGTATTATGTAAGAGTAGCAAGTGCTCTTAACTACTGAGCCATCTTTCCAGTCCCAGAACAATTCTTTTCCTTTTTTTTGGGGGGGGGGTCTTTTTGAGACAGGGTCTCCCTGTAGCCCCAACTGGCCTGGAACTCACTTTGTAGATCAGGCTGGCCTTAAACTCACAGAGATCCGCCCTTCTCTGCCTCCGCCTCCCAAGTGCTGGGACTAAAGGCATGCAGCACCACGCCCAGCTCCCAGAACAATTCTTAAGATAGCTTTTTGCTTTATTTATGATACTCTAGAGTATGTTTAGATAATTGTTTTGTTAAATATAAAATGCATGTTGCTATACATTTGATCTCCTGTGCTAAGATTTGCTGTTGAACACAATACAAACCCCCTATGACACAAGTACCTAACTAAATACCTGTTTAGTGCCTTAGATTCTGATAGATCACTTGTTTTGCTAGTCTTTGGAATTAGGAGTGTCAAATACACAGAAGCCAGAGTCATCTTAGCCAGATGGTGTTTGATACAGATGGATGGTTAGTTGTCATGCAGATCTCCTAGTTGGTAACTTGTTGCTGCCATCTGACTCAAAGAATCATTCACACACACTGGCTGTCAAAAGCATCTTCTCTTCTGTCTGTTTTAGCTGTCATGTCTGTGCTCTGTACAGAAGTGTTGACAAGACATTGCTGTTGTACATTTTCAATGTGGTTGTTAGTGAGTTTTCTGTTTGTGGGGTCTTTGATAGTACTGGAATGCACTTGCTTTGTAATTATATTTTATTTTAAAAATACTGTGACTCTGCAACAATTATCTCTTAAAAGGACTTCATGCTATTTGTTTATTCAGAATTGTTTAGTGAGCACAGTAATTTGATAAAAAAAAAAGAAAAAACTTGTTTTACTTAGTTTGCAGACATCAAAGCAAATCCACTTCTCCCTGCATTCCTTAGGTCACTTTTGAAGACATTGTCTACTTCTCTGATATTTCATTAGCAATTCAATTAGCTGATTATTCAATTAATATTTACTGAGCATCTCAGTATGTTACAGACACTCTGATACTCAAATTTCCTTGAAAAAATAGTTTCTTCCCATGAGGTGTTGATACTCTTTAGGGAAATCAGACATATATACAGACTACTATAACTGCCGTAAATATATGAAAAGTATAGTAAGAGAACATGGACCATTGCTTGATTGTTTGCCCAGCTATACTTTCAACATACTTTTTTTAATTTGTAAAAGAATTTGCTTTAGTTTTATAATATATTATCAAACTGATTTAAGAAATAGTTCAAGACTTCTACTTGAAATAGTTATTGATCTATTAATTTTCCAAGCTGTTAAATATATTTCAGCATTATTCATTTATTATATTATGTTGTAAGCAGATGTGCTGAAGTGTGCTTTTAAGCTTGAAAGAAGATGATGAAAATTAACTGGTAAAAGCTTTCTGAGTTGTTTCCAACTGAACATATATGGTCTTTTGGTTTCTTCACTGAAATGGAGTGCAGGGGCATAGTAAATGAAGAATGGGCTGAGACTTGAATAATTTAAAATGTTTATTCTCAGTCTCTAACTTGCTAAGTTTTTTTGATCTAGTTACTTGATCATTGAACAGGAAGATGTATGTATCAGTCCACAGGCAGTGAAAAGCAGGTAGTTACTGATGTTTATTAAGAATTTCACATTCTTTGGAAAAGTATTCTAAATGCCTAGAGTAGATAGGGAAGACCATAACATATTTCTTGATTCTTTATGTAGCAAGGGTAATTTTAAAGTGTTAAAATAGGGCTAGAGAGATGACTCAGCAATTAAGAGCACTAGCTGTTCTCGCAGTTTATAGCACCCACATGGTAGCTAACAACTGTCTGCAACTGCAGTTCCTGGGGATCCATCTTCCTCTTCTGGCCTCTGTGAGTATTGAATAACACTGGTGCATTTACATTTACACAGGCAAAGCACTCATACACATAAAATAAATAAGTAAATAAACATTTTTAAAAGAATTTGCTGTAATATTTTTATCCTTTGAGTCTGTTTACTCACTCATTCTAGCAGCATTGATGTTAATTTATATAGGAATAAGAGATCTTATTCTAAGTAGTGTGGCTCTGGATTAGACTTCAGTTTCTAGGGCTCAGTACCTGGAGCTTGAGTTCTGTGGGGATACAACTCATAGTTATTAAACATGATTCACAGACTCACAAGATTCCTTCTTCTGTTTATAAGCGTGCATTTAACATGTTTTGAGGAGTTCTATGGGGAATGTCAAGTTTTATAAAGTCTACCCTCAGGCAGCATGCAAAGATAACATGCCACATGGGTTACTTACCAGCTCTGTCATTTATTTCTGTTTGAAATGTCTTACATATAGAAGTTCATCTTTTATTTTGGTAAATGTAATAATTTCTTAAATTTATATTTGAAAGTCCTTCATATATATGTTTAATTTGTGAAGAACTTTGGGTTTGCTGATATCTGAAAATAATAGAATGTCATTAATTATGAACTTCGATTAAGAGTTAATTCAAAAGTTAAACATCTAGTATCTACCAAAGGATGCTATAATATTATTAGGACCCTTTTCATGGTTCAGTGAATTTGTATTTAGATATTTAGTTTTTTGTTCCTCTGGTGGTAGAAATTGACAAAGACTTTTATATTATGGTTTGCAAATATATCTTTTAAGACTACTAATTTGGTAATTGTGATACACTTTGCAAATTTTTTTGAAGGTTGACACATCTGTATATCTGTATTCCTAATACATACTTGTGTCATTTGTCAAACTTAATTTTCAGCAATCATAATAAAATAAGAAGGTGGGTAGAATAAAAATATAAGAAAAATTATAGCAGTCAAAATATTTAATTAGCATTTTTATATAATAAAAGCCATGGTATTCTTGTTGTTTTCCTATTGGTATACTTTTCGAATTTGTATTTCTACCTTTGGTTTCATAGTGTTTTACTTCTAGTTACTTCTTTTGTGGTTTTGTATTCTAAAAACAAATTCAGAGTGTTTATTTGAAAGATATAAAATTTTATTGTTTTTAAATTGGTATGTATTTTTAAATATTAATATTATTCATTTTTTGTTATAAGTATTAAAATTTCAAATTATAACTTTTATCTTAAGGGCCAAGACACCATACTGTCAAACTCTTAACTGAAATTTCTTTAAATAAGGTGATTTTTAAAAAAGTTTTATAAAAAAAATGCTCTAATTGTTTTAAATCACTGGTGTTTACAGTGGTTACAAGTACATTCCTGGAGCCAGTCTATAACTCATATAAATTTTCAAGTAACTGGGAAATGACAGTATGGGCAACTCCTGTGTGTTTATTAATGGGCAGTAAACATATCTGTCAGTAAATATCAGACTAACTGGTTTTCTTGTCAGCAGACTGAGAACTATGAACAGAGAATACGTGAGCAACAAGAACAGCTGTCATTTCAACAAACTATTATTGACAGGCTAAAATCACAGCTACTTCTTTTGAATTCCAGTCGAGGTAATCTCATCTCTTCTCCTCTCCCCTCCCCTCCCCTCCCCTCCCCTCCCGTTCTCTTCCCTTCCCTTCCCTACCCTCCCCTTCTCTCTCTGCTCTCTCTCTCTCTCTCTCTCTCTCTCTCCCTCTCCTGAACTATCTCTCCCACATCCTCCCCCATACCTTTTTTATTCCTCAAATTTTACATGTAGTATTTTTTGTAAATGATTATCTTAAATAAGAAATGCATAGCCAACAGGCTAGAGAGATGACTCAGTGTTGAAGAGTACTGGCTGCTCCTGCAGGGGATCTGGGTTTAGTTCCCAGCACCCACATGGCGGTTAACAACCATGCATAATTCCAGTTCCAAGGGATCCAACACCCTCTTCAGGTCTCTATGGGCTTTGTACAACATGGGTGCACTTAACATACCATGCAGGCAAAACACTCATATACATAAAATAAATAAACAAGAAATGCATACCCAAAAATATGATGTATAAAAGTTTAATTGGACTAGGAGCATGGCTCAGTGGTAGAGCACTTGCCTAGTGTATATAAGACTCTATTCCCAGCCCTACCAAAAAAAAATTGTTCCTAAAAGTTTAATTGTTGATAAAAATCAAATGCAAGGAGTATAATTCTAGTTTTCTGAATTCATATATTTTACCATCGACTTTTGGGAAGATAAGAAATAGTGGGAAGGAAAAAAAATCTAAATGAGCAAGTTGTCAAGATGAATATTTCATAAATAATATTTTTAAGCCAGAACTTAAATTTTATTCTTTTGGGGTTTATTTTTGTTATTATCATTATTTTTCCAGGTGATACCAATAGTAAGGGTTTTCTGCTTGGTATACAAGAGATTTTTGTCTTGCAGATAGCAGTTATGGCTATGCTCCTTTGCTTGAAGACAGTGAAACAAGGAAGAATACTTTAACTCCTGATCAACCACATGATAAAGTGAAACCAGGAACACCAAGAGATAAACAGTCAAAGGTAGGTCATAGTCAGATTTATTTTTTAAAGGAAGTTAGGTTTCACAGATAAAAAATTATTTTGTCTGTATCCTCTCACAATTTGGATGGGAAGGCTGTGGGCAGAAAATAGACAAGATTTATTTCAACCCTAACATTGCTTCTGCAAAACTCAGTATTTAAATGCACATAGATGATATATCTTCGTCATTTTATCTTCCTGCAGTGATGATCTACCACTGGAATTCTTTTTTTAAGATTTTTTTTAAATTTATTTTTACACCCACTTCCCAGATAGAACCCTCCCATAGCCTCCCTCTCCCCACTAGAGCCCTTATACTCTGATATCCCTGCTACTGTCTGCTGTGTTGTCGGCACCCCCAGCCATTCCCCACTACTTGCCCTTCTGGTGAATCTAGTCAGCCTATC